CACTATATTGCAGGGCTTCAAACTGAGGTTAAGTTGAGCTACTCATACGTGCAACGGTCTGAGACCTTGTGGACACTAACCAGCAATCGCTCAGGCTCATGCGATATTGTATTCTGTAGCCACAGTGAAGACAGTTTGCAAACGACTCTCCTCTGGTGTCTAAAAAGCACTTCCTGCAGATTTTTTCATATTGGTGACGGGAGAACGGCTAGGAAGCACCTGAACCGAGGATAAACAACTCTTGATGGAATCCATTCGAAGCGAGTAACAAGTGTCAGCTAAATATATAAACACTCTGCTATTCAATCTTCCTCTTACAGCTTGCTTTACATAATCATATAAATATGTATACAGGTGTTGAGCAAACTCGTGCAACATCATTCTCAATTTGGAAATATATTCCGGTCTATAATATCGTACTTGTATATTGATGGCTATGGATAAAGTGTATTTATTCCTGATTTTATCTCCCACTTCTAAGTTATTATTTCTCTCCTATCACCGTTTGAATTTGCGTGACCTTGAAGGTTGCGATAAAATTCGTAGTAGTTCGAAAGTTACAGCTGAGATTTCGAAAATATTTCACGCAAAGCAGCATTGGAATTCATTCTTTTGAATAAGTGATTCTTGTTCCATGAAAGTGTTTATTAAGTTGAACACTCGTATTTTAAATTGTTAATCTCTTTTCATTCAGTGCACAATAAATAAGCAAATTAATGAAAATATTCTAACTTAAATAAATTGATAAATTATTAGGCTTTAACTACTCACGCATTATCTACAATGCTGATCGAACTAGTCCAAGAAACATACAAGTTGATCTTCGAAAGTTTACCTTGAGGTGTGCGACTCGTAAAATAAGCGTTTTGTTGGGGTTGATAGTGAAAAACGGTTAGATCTAACTGAGTATTTTTTCACATTTTTGGATTCTCTGGAGGGGTCAAGTTGAAAGCCAAATTCATTCAGGTACCGCGTAGCAGCTGGAATTTTAAATTAATCGAAAACGTTTTACTGTATCAGAAACAGGGATAAGTCAGCTGGCTCGACATTCGTCGTCAATGTTCAAGATGCGGGGGTTGTTAGAGGAAACTGGCAAATGCTGTTCGTCAGTCAACTTGATAGACTTCATGCTGAAGCGACTTCCTCCAGTGCCCAAAATAAAGAAGGGCAAATGGACTATGGAAGATATGAACGTACAATACATGTATGAAGTCTATGAATCATTTAATAAATGAATTCTAGTTACGTTTTCTAAAGTAAAGTTGTTATTTCACAACTGATTCACCACCAACCATCGTCAAAATCACGAAATTGCACAGTTTAATGGCAAGTGGCTAATAGAAGCAAAGGCACAAGTTGGTATTAAATCAGATATGTTGCATCTGATGTGGGGCAATAGCATTTTCAATCCCCCGTGAATGAAGCTGGAAAAATAAAGCACTGGCAAGCACTAATGTGATGAAAGTGAGGATGTTGCACGAGTTTGGTCAATACCTGTATTATGAATGGTTTGTTGTGTTACCATGATTGTGTAAAATCGGAAACCAGCGGGCTTGTTACTTTTTGTACAAATTAGGAAAAAACTTCATCTTGAATTAAAGTACTGTCATTTTATTCTTCACGGCATTTGAATCCCCGAACGCAACATTAATCATGATAAAGAACAAATCAGCTACAATCATTGATGTAGCAAATCCTTGTACATTCATTTGTATAAATACCCTACCATTTTACTATGGTAATCAAGTTGAATGAATATTCACTTTTTGGAGATCGTGTACTACTCCTATGGGAAATTGTTAGTCTCTCATAAGGGCAGTGACTCTGCAAACTTTCGAGCATACCTAATCCGTAGAATCGGTTTACACTTTAAATTTCTGGAATTTGGAGAATTTAAATATTTTTACGATTAATTCATCTTGTCAATGAGGTATAAGCTGAACAGCTGAGAAGCACTGATTTGCTATTTTGATCTGATTTGGTCTCATCAACTGGGAATCGCACCCGAGACCCCGCAGGTAGAAGACATGCTATTAAGTATGACTGCGTTCTACCTGTGAGGTCCCGGGTTCAATTCCCAACTGGATCCATGGAGTCGCACTGTCGATGAGACTTAAACAGATCGAAACAGCAGTCTAGTGCTTCCTAGCGTTTTAGCCGACGATAAATTCATCACATAATCAAACCAAATCCTCCATTCTTTTTATATAATTTAAAACTTGTCAATTTCAATCATATATCAGTCTGCGCTTGAAAAAAATTGATTTATATAGACTTCGTCTGCAATCAAACAGACAAAAACCGACATAAGGCCAAATCAGATATTTTCACCGACCGCAGATGGGGTGTAAATTAGAATGATTAAGCTTTTAGTCATGAAAACCTTTCTCGGAACTTGTTCTTTTGGTAACCATGATTCTCGAGTGGTTCTTTCCAGGTTAATGCCAATTAAACTAATTGTAGTGTGTAATGGCTCAATTTTGGGAAGAATGTTTAAAGATATACTGAGTTACAGATATACTTAAATGAACCAATATCAACTTTAGTACTGTGCTTCTATAATTTGAAACATTCCGTCGTTTTGTATTAAGTTAGTTCAAAACCTCAAAAACGAAAATGGAACACAATTGTCTAGTAAAACGAAATCCAGTCCGTTAATGAAAAACAAATTTTATCACATGCCTGTCACAAAAATAAACTTTTAACGAACATTTGAAAATCAGAAATTTTGAAAAAAAACATTTAGGATGCATTTGAACTTGATGGATAACACGCTAACGTAAGCCTCTCGAGTAATACGGTCACCGTTTGAAAATCTTCCTTAAAATCCACAGAGTTATGTGAAAACAAATAATCTCAAAGATTTATTTTGTCGTCGTTGTTAAAAGCGCTTGCTTGTCCTCCTCCCCTCCCCTAGCATATCCGCAGTATGTATTTTATGTAGCACATTATCGCTTGTTTCTGTCTCGTGCTCCAGCAGGACTATACGATCTGTCCGGGCGGCACAAACTGACGGTCTATAAAAACGAGGGGAACTGCTATCCGGGTAAACGTTGCGTGCCTTTAGCGTATAACATTTCAGCTGTTTCCCGTCGTCAGAGTAGAGGCCGTCACGAAGGCGAAAGTCGGGTGTTTGGGGTGGGAGGGGAGTGATGAAACCTAGTTCGAGCAGACAAAATCTATTGCTCGAACAGTTGTGAATATAACACTACAGTGCTTCGGTTGCCGACATTGATGTCATCCATCCTCAACTATCCAATTGAGTACGAATGCACACCCTATCTAACTGTATGGGGCACTTGTGCTGGAATTCAATCAAGCGTAGTGACGATAATGATATGGGTACAAACCAATGCCAGCCTTGGGGCTAATTTCTGTCGTGCCCTCTCAGTCTCGGCTTACGATATGGCCTCTCATCAACCCCTCCCCCTCCTAGACCCGATCAACCCCTAACATTGTGTCCCCGAATTGTTTAATAATGTCAAACGTGCCGATAAAGATCAGATTGCTGTATGTTGGGAACGTGGTAATAGTAGTGGAAACATTGCTGTTGTTTAGTTGACACCTTTTTCGATTTGTTTAAATCTGGTTCAATGCGCAAATTGTGCAAATGGATCACAGGCGCCTCTCATTTGATGATGGAAGTAATAGGAACGTGCTGCTGAGCAACAAGTTACTGTACAATCACACGCATCTATACACACACGCAATCAAAAAACACCTAGAGAACACCAAACTTTTAGCTCAATAAAAATGCATGACGTGATTGGGGATGAGCTTTATGAGAGGGATTTATCTAAAGTGGCTCAACATTTATTCCCAATGATTCTCATAATGACTGGGAGATGATTGAAATAACTAGTATGATGGTACTATCGAAGGATGGAATTCAGGCAAAGAGTAGGAGAGCGAGAAGCTGGAGGATGATATTAAGTCCGATTTATTGTCTCCGTGGGTGACAGGTATGACAGTAAATATATCAATGAGAAGCACCGGAGGGATAATAACTAACAGTAGCCTGTCAGTTGTTGGTTTTATTGTTGTTGTTGTTGTTGTTGTTGTTGTTGTTGTTGTTGCTGACTATGTACGTGTTCCAATTTCGGTTGGGCAATAACCAATCACACCAGATTTTTGGCCTTTTGGAAAAGTTATTATACGTGAAAACAATTGCTCGGAGCAAATTGGTGAACGTTTGATCCTACGCAACCGAACCAAACAGAGGCGGAAACTTTTAAAGCTAGCTAAATTAGGTGGTAGGATGATATTGAAAACTTAATCATAGTTGTCGGATTCATTCGAAGGTTAATAAAACAACCGACACAAGATTGCGGTTCATGTGGTCATTATGAAAGCTGTTTTTTATTCCGATCGAACCTTATTCAGACTTCACCTTCGTGCACAATTTTCGGTCTTTTCGATCAACTAGATTCTAGTTTCAGTGAGGAAGGAGGAACCCCATTCTCAGTTATGCTTACTGATCCTAAATGAGAATGAGTAGACCAGTGTTCTTTGTGTGGTCTCAGGAGCCAACATCGTGTGAAAACTGCTGGTTAAATCAGACAAGGCGAAAGACAGAATAATTAATTGTTGCATGTAAAGAATAAACCGTAGCCACGGTTACCTAACGGTTCAATGGCTTCAGTTCATCGCAATGAGCATCTTGAATGCTGAATAATATGCACATGAATGACAGTTGTCCTACGTGTTCTACGTGAAGCCTCTGTATTTCCCAATAAAAAACATGAAAGGAAATTCAGAATCTAATGTGTAACAGATTTAACACCGACCGGAAAATTTTTCCTTATACCAGATCACGGAAAATGTATGAAAATACATCAAAAGTATCCTATTCCAATTTTTCCCGCTTATCTCTGTTATTCAAGTACTTTCAAAGTACCATCAAAATAGAAAACGGAAGGAGGAATGCATTTTATAACATCAAAAGTAAGAAACAGCGTGCTCGTAACTTCTGGTGAAATTCCAATAATGTTTGATGTTTGCCTAATCGACAGAAATATCGGTATGCACATATTTGTTGTTCAGATATAACAAGAAATAGTGCATCACCTAAACCAAATCAAATAGACTGTGTGGTATGTG